CCCCAGTTATGAGGACACGTGCCCTGTTCATAGCGGCCCACGGATCCTGGCCTCGCCAGCGCCAAGGAGTGAAATTTGACTTCCCAAATGTTTTCTCTGGACGTGGACCAGGGAGCTTGGGGCTGCCAGCGGCGGGGGGGAGACCCAGCCCCCCCTGCAAACCGGATCGCCCCTCACTGATAGTCAGCGTCTGGGTGTGTGCCAGACCCCGAGGCTCCTGCTCACTTGGACTCCCTCCGCCGAGCCACAGCGTGTGACACAGACCACGTGCCGCCTGTTTCTGCCGCAGCCACGTGGCTGCGCCTGCAACCCGGGCTCCATGGGCGGGGGCTCACCTGGCAGGTCAGGGGGCACAGAGCCCAGCGGCTTCGAGCCCTAGAGCACCCGCAACACCCCTCCTCAATCCTCCATTTTTCTCCATAGTCGGGGCCCATCTCTGCCACAGAGTCGAGCCATTTTCATGAACCTCAGAGCCGTGGGGTCCTCGCCTGCGAAGGGGGGAATGGTGGCTGAGCCTCGTGGGGTTTTGTGGCCGTTCAGTGCATCGTGGCATGTAACGTCCAGTACCAGTACTCGGGTATTTGCCGCTGTTAATGCTGTTGGCAGCCACACGAGTAATGGTGTTAAGTACTTCTCGCTAAAATGGAGCGACACCTGCCTTTCTGTTTTCTTAAAAAATTTTTTTAATGTTTATTTGTTTGAGAGGGAGAGAGAGGCAGAATCCAAAGCAGGCTGACCTGAGCCGAAGTTGGACGCTTAACTGACTGAGCCACCCAGGCACCCCTGGAGCATGCGTTTTTAAGAGCTCTGTTGTGAAACTGTGCTCCAGATCAGATCCGAAACTGGAAATCAAACAGTAGGGAGGATGCTCGTGTGTCGGCTCCCTGAAGACGAGCAATCACAGAGACCGTCCCTGGGAACACTCCTGATGCTAACATTGACGTTAACACTGAACACGCACAGGCCCAGATGCGTTATCAGTGTCCCACGTTTAGTGGGACACGAGAGCTCCGGGGAAAGGAGTGCTTACAAGCGAATGGGTGGATATGTAACCGTACTTTCCAGCTTGAAAACATAAGTCCTCGACATGGTAAATATTCAGAGCTTGAGGGCATCTTCCGTACGGGACCACCCCATCAGTCCAGCTTTAAGACAAACGCAGACGGTGAAATACCCATTTTCTGGAGGTGCACATACATGCGCTAAGGGGAGGGCTCACCCGTAGATCACATTTCCAAGGAAGCTTTTTGCTGCGACCTCTTGTACCCACGTTCCACGATTCATCTGAGTCAGATCAGGCAGGCCCGTGAAATGCCCCGTTACGGGGTCCCCTGGATCCTGCCACGTGTGCTGGTGGGCGTTGTAGAGCTGAGGTCAGCGTGGGATTGTTGGTGAGCAGCATTCCCTGTGGTGGCCACCTCGGAACCATGATGGCGCAGCCTTCTGACCCCCCCCCCCCCCCGGCCTGCTGACAGTCGTAACCCCCCTGCGGGTCCCACACTGCTCTCCGGGGGCTTGCTGGGTGTTGCTGACCGTAGAGCTCTGACTGTGCCCCAAACCCCGGTGATCCGAAGACTCATGCGGGGCCCATGGAAGCCACCCGCTGTTTGGGACAGAGCTCCAGACCCGCAGTCCTGGCTTCCATGGTGGCCCGAACATACTCTCGGGATTGGGGTCCAAGAGGAGATGCTAATGCTAGGCTGGGGTGCACGCGTGCAGGCGCGGCAGAGGTGGGGCTCCCGTGGGGGCCGGTCACTCAGGACAGCCATACCACCTGTCCCATGTCACCCCGCCACCTGTGACTCCACGGGGTCAACGCTGTGTCTCTGTCCGTCTTTCTCCTTCCCCAGCGCCGACCAGGCCCTGGATAGATTTGCGATGAAGAAGTTCTACGATGATAAAGTTTCGGATTTAATGCAGCCGTCCCAGAAACGGTACGTACGTGTCCCCACGCCTGAGTGAACAGGTGGGTGAGATTTCATATTTCAGAAGGTGGGGACAGAAGAGGCGCCTCCCCTGACGAGGCAAGAACGGGAGGGGAGGGCTGGTGGGTGCCCAGTGGCAGAGATGAGCCACTGTGTGTGGGTGGGAGGGGAGCCCCCGGCCCCGGCTGGCTCTGAGAGGAGGACCCAGGCGTCCTTCCGCACGCTCGGCCCAGGGGTGGATTTGTGCTCTGATGCCGGAACTGGTTTCTATCTGCCGGTTTGGGTCGGTGAACTGTGTCTGTAATCTGCTGGCGGGTGGAGGTTCTGGGCTGTGCAGGCCATGTGGTCTCTGTCACGGCTGTCCTCACGGGAGAGCGGCACAGGCATTCGGAAATGAGCGAACGTGGCTCTGTGGCAGGTTTGTGGTTGGTCCCGACCCCTGTGCTAGACGCTCAGCTCCTGAGCCCGGGGCGTCTTCCATCATGCTAGCCTCCCCAGCCCGCCCACCACCCTCTCTCTGGAGCCCCCGGGATGCTCGGTGTGCGGGGTCGGAAGGGCCCTGGGGGAGCCGACTCTCTCGCCATGTGTCCCCAGGGGAGTGCACGCCGCCCTCCGCGCCCAGCTGAAGAAGGCGGATGGGGTCAGGGTGTGCGCAGCGGGTCAGGGTCCAGCGAGAGGGGTCCTGGGCGGCCTCCTCCCGGCCCCACGTCTTGCCGACAGTGACACGGAGCCGGGCACACAGTCTCTGCGCTTCTATTTTAAGGCTGACTGCAGGGGATTTGCCAAGGATGGCCGAGGCAGTTGCCAGGATGGCTTTCTGTCTCCTGCACCTGCTTCCCCAGCCTCCGAGGGAATCCTTGGGGCGGCTCACAGGCGTGTTTTGGTTCCATCCGGGAGAGGGATTTCAAGGACCACCAAAGGCACTGCCTCCTTTTTTCCTGGGTGTTTCCCGTGTCCAGGTCCGTGTGTGTTCAGACCCGGCTGTGTGGGCGGTGTGGGACCCTGAGTCTGAACCCACTCTGAGCCACACTCCCCACAAGGGAGTGTGAGTCGCTTGCAAGAAACCCAGCGTTTCATTAGTATTACAGGTACACCGAGCCCCTCGTTCTGTTTTGAACCCTGACGTGGCGTTTCCCTGTTGAGCCCTTTCCAGGGTGGCAGCAGATGTTCCCGTGTGGGTGTGACTTAAACTAGGAGGGAGCCCCCTGGATGTTCTGCTCCCGCCAGGGAAGGGGGGTTCCCATTTCTCCCCTGCCCCTCCCCCTGTCCTCCTCTCCCCTCTCCTATCCTTCTGCTCCTCCTCTCTTCCTCCTCCTCTTCCCCCTCCCTCCTCCACGTCCTTCCTTTTCTTCCTCCACCTCTTCCTTTTACCTCTTCTTCCTCTTTCCTTTTTCCTTCCCCCCTCCCTCCTCTTGCTTCTCCTTCTCCTCTCCCTCCTCCTCCTCCTCACTCTTCCTCCTCCTCCTCTCTTCTTTTTCTTCCCCTTCCTCCTCCCTCCTTCTTCCTTCCTCCCCCTCCTCCTCCTCTCCCGCCTTTTGCCCACCCAGTAACCCCTGCCTCTGGCAACCACCAATGTGTTCTCTGTGTGTGTGAGCTTTGGAGCTTGTTTTATTTGTTCATTTGTTTTGTTTTCTGGTTCAACATGTAAGTGAAGTCATAGGATATTTGTTTTTCTCTGTTGGAGATTTTACTTTACAATGTAGTCTCCATCCAAGTTGTTGCAGATGTTAAGATTTCTTTCTTGTTTTTAGAGCTGATTAACATCCTGTGGTATATCTATGCCACACCTTTATTCGTCTGTCCTTTGATAGACACTTGGGCTGTTTCCACGTCTTGGCTACCGTCAGTTACCATCAGTAATGCTGCAGTAACCACGGGTGCAGATGACCTTTTCTTTCTTTCTTTCTTTTTTTTAATTTTTTTGATGTCTATTTACTTTTGAGAGGGAGAGACATACAGAGTGAGAGCAGGGGAGGGGCAGTGAGAGAGGGAGACACAGAATCCAAAACAGGCTCCAGGCTCTGAGCTGTCAGCACAGACCCCGACACAGGGCTCGAACTCACAGACCGTGAGATCATGACCTGAGTTGAAGTCAGATGCTCAACTGACTGAGCCATCCAGGTGCCCCCAGATGATCTTTTCAAGTAGGTGTTTTTGTTTTCATCGGCAAAATACCCATACGTGGAGTTACCAGACCATATGGTAGTTCTATTTTTAACTTTTTGAGGAACCTCCACACGGTTTTCCACAGTGACTGCACCAGTTTGCATTCCCAGCAACAGCCCAAGGGCGTTCCTTTTTCTCCGCATCCTTGCCAACACCTGTAGTTTCTGGTGCTGTTATTTTTGCTGTTCTGACAGGTGTCACGTGGTATCTCATGGTGGTTTTGATTTGCATTTCCCTGATGATCAGTGATTTGAGCATCTTTCCATGTGTCTGTGGGCCGTGTGGATGTCTTCTTTGGAGAACTGTCTGTTCATGTCTTCTGCCCATTTTCAGTTGGATTATTGTTTTTTTGTTTGTTTTTGTTTTTTTGCTGTGGAGCTGTATCTCTTCTGCATGTATTTTCGATACCAACCCCTTATTAACCACATTGTGTAAGTATCTTCTCCCATTCCGTGGGCCGCCTTGTCCTTTTGATGATGGACTCTTCCGCTGTGTGGAAGTTGTTTTAGTTTGATGCGATCCCACGTGTTTATTTTTGCTTTGGTTCCAATTAAAAACGTCATCACCAAGACCGGTGTCTTCTTCTAGGATTTTTATGGTTTCAGGTCTTATGTTCAAGTCTTCTATCCATTTTGAGTTTAGTTTGTGCACGGGGTAAGACAGTGGCCCCGTTTTCTCAACACTGTTGATTGAGGAGACTGCTTTCTTCCATTGTATATTCTTGGCTCCTTTGTCATAAACGAATTGACCGGACGTGCGTGGGCTTATTTCTGGGCTCTCTCTTCTGTTCCATTGACCTGTTTTGATGCCAGTGCCGTACTGTCTTGTTTACTACAGTTTTGTAACTTAGTTTGAAATCGGGAAGTGTTATACCTCTGGCTTTGTTATTTTTTCTCAAGACTGCTTTGGCTGTCTAGGCTCCTTTGTGGTTCCATGTGAACTTTAAGGTGCTTTTTTGTTTGTTTGCTTTTTGCTATTTCTGTGATGAAAAATGCCATTGGAATTTTGATAGGGTTTGCATTGAATCTGTCACTTGCTTTTGGTAGGATGGACATTTTAACGATATTGTTCTTCCCAATCCATCAGCATGGAACGTTTTTCTGTTTGTGTCGTCTTTAGTTTTTTCCATTAGCGTCTTATGGTTTTTAGCATACTGGTCTTCCACTGCTTTGGTTAAGTTTATTTCTAGCTGTTTCATTCGTTTTGATGCAGTTGTGAATGGGTTCTTTCTTTCTTTATTTTATTAAAAAAAATTTTTTTTTTAAGTTTATTTATCACAGAGAAGACAGCATGAGTGGAAGAGGGCAGAGAGAGAGGCAGACAGAGAATCCCAAGCAGGCTCTGT